GGGCGAAAATGGCTTTCCTCACCCATCTGGAGGCCATCCGGAGGCTGGAAATGGCCTGTTTCCCGACTTCCGGTGGGACCGGAAAGCCCATTTTTTGCCCTCCCCCGGCTCCAGAGGCTTTCTTGGAGCCTGGGGAGGGCAAAAATGACCCTCCCCAGGCTCCAAGAGGCCCTCCGGAGGCCGGAAACTGCCCATTTCCTGACTTCCGGTAGGCCCAGAAGGCCTAATTGTATAGGCCATGCTCTATACAATTCCAGACTGAAGGGAAACAATAATAAGGATGTAATAATATACTGGTGTACTAGATTCTGTAACCATTAGGTTCCTGTAATACATATATGCCTTTATATTTGTATCTCCTGTAATGTATCTGGTATTTGTCAAACATATGTCCCTGCCATTTGACCTGAACTCATATCAATCTTCTCCCTGTTTTTTTCTTGTGCCATCTAAGAGCATGGTACGTATCTCCAAGGGATAATTTACACCTCAGTCCTAATTTATGTTTGATCTGGATAAACTCCTGCTTTCCAGGGCCAGGGGGCCAAAGAAATGCTCAAGATGGCTAATTGGGAAGTTTCTATTCCCCCTTGCAGGGCAACAAGGAATACACAAACCTAAATTAGGAGGCCAGAGTTGGGTACTAAGCTGACGTCTCTGAGGGTATAAAAGGACGCCATACCTTCCCCAAGGTGTGGTTATCTCCTCGCATGCATTGTATCTGTATGTTCTGGATATAGTTCCACCCAGTATATATATATATTTTAATTTGATTTATATGCCGCCCTTCTCCGGAGACTCAGGGCGGCTTACAATGTGCTCAGCAATAGCACATTGTTTTTGGCCATAAATAAAATCTGTTTTTTTGCAAGCCTCGTCTTGAGTTTCTCTCTTTGGCCTTCTGGTGACTCAAGTATATTTTGGGACCTTACAAGACAAACGCTTGTCGGGTCTTCTTGAAGACTTCCAGCTCCAGCAATAAAGAAGCACCCATAACTTTCGGAGGCAAGTCGCTCTACTGTTTGTTCTCACAGTCAGGAAGTTTCTCCTTAGTTCTCAGATAGTTGCCTTAGTTCACGTTTCAAGTGGAAAGACGTGCCACGTTTAGAAGGAGGAGGGCAGGTTCATGGCCTCCCTCTAAATGCCAGCTGGACTACTCCACCAAATTTGAAATGCTGCTAATTACGTTCTGTGGAGCATTTTGTTTGCCATTTTCTAGGGCTTTAATATGCCATCAATCCCCAGTCGTTCTTTTAGAGAGGAAAAAAAAAAATCTCCTAGCCACTTGCCGTTAATAGCAAAACAGCTTTACTTCCAAACTGGTTCGTGGACAGTTGCATTAATCAACCGATACCAATCAAGGATAAAGTGCTGGGAGCATATTAGCAGATCTCAGAAGAGGCAAACAAAATTTTGTCCCACGTGGATATATTGATTTTGGAATAAATGCCGCATTTTTTGGACTATAAGATGCACTTTTTTGTCTCCCAAAAGGGGGTGAAAATGTCTGTGCGTCTTATAGACCAAATATTGCTGAAGTCCTGTCCACCCGCCAGATGTTTTTTTTGGCCTCTGCGCACCCAATTTTTGGGCCTTTTTTCAGCCTTTTTCAGCCAGTATTTGAGACTTTTTGGGGCCCGTTTTTTTTTCAAAAAATGGGCTGAAAAAAGCCTTGAAAATGGACCGAAAAAAGCCTCAAAAACAGGCCTCAAAAGCCTCAAAAATGGGCTAAAAAAGCCCCAAAAATGGGCCTGAAAAAAGCCTTGAAAATGAGCCAAAAAAGCCTCAAAAATGAGCCAGAAAAAGCCTCGAAAAAATGGCCGAAAAGCCGAAAAAAGCCTCAAAAAGGGCCAAAAAAGCCATGAAAACAGGCTGAAAAAAGACTGGAAAAGGGCTGCTGAAAAAAGGCCCGAGAAAAGGGAGGCCAATTTTTTTTGTTGTTGTTCTTTTTCTCTCTAAATTTAGGTGCGCCTTATAGTCCGAAAAATGTGGTAAATTTGGGGCTACATCATCATTTTACTACTCTTGCTCCTTTCTGTTTCAGAGGTCTCTTAGGGGTTTCCAGAGAGATATTGCCCATAAAGTAGAATAGAATAGAATAGAATAGAATCAGGAACAGAACAGAACAATGAAATTAGAACAGAACAGAACAGAACAGAATAGGGACAAGGACAAGAGTAGAGTAGAGTAGAGTAGAGTAGAGTAGAATAGGATAGGATAGGATAGGATAGGATAGGGACAAGGACAAGAGTAGAATAGAGTAGAGTAGAGTAGAGTAGAGTAGAGTAGAGTAGAGTAGAGTAGAATAGAATAGAATAGAATAGAATAGAATAGAATAGAATAGAATAGAATAGATAGAATAGAAAAGAATAGAATAGGACAAGGACAAGAGTAGAGTAGAGTAGAGTAGAGTAGAGTAGAGTAGAGTAGAGTAGAGTAGAGTAGAATAGAATAGAATAGAATAGAATAGAATAGAATAGAATAGAATAGAATAGAATAGGGACAAGACAAGGACAAGGACAAGGACAAGGACAAGAGTGGAGTGGAGTGGAGTGGAGTGGAGTGGAGTGGAATAGAATAGAATAGAATAGAATAGAATAGAATAGAATAGAATAGAATAGAATAGAATAGAATAGAATAGAATAGAATAAGGAACAGGAACAGGAACAGGAACAGGAACAGGAACAGGGATAGGATAGGATAGGATAGAATAACAGAAATATCTCCATCCTTTCCAACTCTGTTTTTCTGTTATCCTGCATCCCATTTGTCTCCCAATTTTTGAGGAGAGCAATTGTCTCCCAGCAAGGGATGCTCAGCGGATCAATTTGATCCACTGAGGTTTCTTTCTGAGGTGGTGTTCCCGGGGAACAGTTTTCTTAAATCTGTTAGACATTTACAGTCCTTCTGGCTGGGCTGTCTGTAAAAGTCTATCACACTGTATTAACTTGATAAGGTAATGTGCTCCCTTCTCTCTTCGTAGCGAAGAGCAATTTGACTTTGGAACATCTCGCTGTCCTTTTGTCCCTAAACTTAATGGAGGGTGGTTATGGAGTTTAGCAACAGGTTTTCAGAAAATCTATGGAGAGACTGCTGAAGAAGTTCATAAACAACCTGTTTTTGGTGGCACGTTCAACAATGGTTTGCTGGGATGAGTCTTGGCCGGATGCTTCATGCATTCTAGAGAGTCAGATCTTGGCCATTGAACCAAACATTGTCCAAGAGTTTTTGGGAGGTTCTAACTTAGCATCATTCAAGGAGATTAAACTGGGGAGGACCTCAACCAACCTCCCAATCGGTGTCCTCCAAGCCAACCTCCAAAGGGAAGGCAATGTTCTCGTTCTGAATGTCCTCCATAAACGATCATAGAAAGGAGATAGGACAGTGATGGCTAACCATTTTTCCCTCGTGTGCCAAAAACATGCGTGAACACGCAATAGCGTGCACACGTGATTGCATGCATGTGTGTTGCCACACACATAATGCAATGCCCGCATGCGTGCCCCACTCCCCTGCACATGTATGCGCAACCCACCCTGCGCTGCCCCGCCCCACTGTGCATGCACGCATGACCCCCCCGTGCTCCCTGACCCACCACGCATGTGCATGCAACCCTGCGCCCTCCCATTTTGGGACTTCCGGTAGGCCCATTTTTCGCCCTCCCCAGGCTCCGGAGGCTTTCCTGAAGCTTCCAGGAAGGCGAAAATGGTCTCCCTCGGCCCTCTGGAGGCCTTCCAAAAGCCAGAAACGGCCCGTTTCCAGACTTCCGGTAGGCCCATTTTTCGCCCTCCCAGAGCCTCCGTGCGAGTGCTGTACTTACCTGGCATCCAAAATGGGCCACATGGAGACTCTAGGAGGGGAGGGGCAGCATGGGCAGGCGTGCACGTCCCCCGCATGAGTGGAAGAGGACTCAAATCAGCTGGCTGGAGGAGTGCGTGCATGCGTGGTGGGGCTGACCTACAGCACGGCTCATGTGCCTGCAGAAATGGCTTTGCATGCCACCTGTAGTCTGTAGCATACGTGTGCCATAGGTTCGCCATCACGGAGATAAGACAATGACTCATGCAATGACTTTGATTCATGCGGGTCGGTGTTTTTGGTGGCCTTCTGAAAGGATCTTTGTATGTTTCTATGCTCTGGAACTTGTTGTTCACCCAAAGAGCAGATTAAAAGCAAGCAGTGTTGAGAAGGAAGAGGAGAAGTGTGGGATTCTCCAAGGAGTCAAGATCTTCTCCTATTGAAGGACTTCAGGAATTATTTCCAGAACTACCATTTGTGGAACATGAGGCTATCTCTGCACCAGTCTATCTCTGTAGATCAAAGATGGAGTTGGAACTATATCAGGGATCGGCAACCTTAAACACTCAAAGAGCCGCAAAGGTCCTAACCGGAAGCTCCCCATTTAATTCTGGAGCCGGGCGGAAGTCCGGTTCCCCCACCATAGAGTCTCCTCCTAGCGTGGCATCCTTTTCCCTCTACCAACCGGAAGTCTGGTTCCCCCACCATAGAGTCTCCTCCTAGCGTGGCATCCTTTTCCCTCTACCAACCGGAAGTCTGGTTCCCCCACCATAGAGTCTCCTCCTAGCGTGGCATCCTTTTCCCTCTACCAACCGGAAGTCCGGTTCCCCCACCATAGAGTCTCCTCCTAGCGTGGCATCCTTTTCCCTCTACCAACCGGAAGTCCGGTTCCCCCACCATAGAGTCTCCTCTAGCGTGGCATCCTTTTCCCTCTACCAACCGGAAGTCCGGTTCCCCACCATAGAGTCTCCTCCTAGCGCGACATCCTTTTCCCTCTACCTGTCCTAACCGAAAGCCCCATCAATTGTGGAGCCGACCAGCGACAGGGAGCCGCAGCAGAGGGATGAAAGAGCCACATGCGGCTCCAGAGCCGCAGGTTGCTGACCCCTGAACTAGATCTTCAGAGGTGGATTGTTATTATACTTGATCTGACTCAACCATAACATAGCTTGCTTGGGTTGGCATCTCAGGCAGACCCAGCTATTGATTCTTATTCAACAAACCAGTAGTTATGCAAACTATGGATTAGGGCACCCTGGGAATTCCAACTGTTTCCAACAATTTGAAATTAGCCGAAAGGCAAGTGCTCTTTGTATTGATGGCCTGAGGCATCAACACACCTTCAGCCCAGCTGGTGTCCAGTACAGGTGAGTAAACATTTTCACCTGGGGATGCTGCTTCATTGGAAAGCTCTCTTGTATCTCAGCTCCAGGTGAGCTCACACATTTCCTTAAATCTCCAGGTTCGTTTTGTGGTGCAGCCTCGACAAGCTCATTACCTGCCTTGTTTCATCCTACAAAAGAGGTATTGTGAAAAAGCCCAGACAAACCAATAAAAGCTCCATGTACCAATTAATCAGTTACACTCTGGTATTTATTTACTCAGAGGTAAAATCTTGCCTCCCAATCTTGCTTTTTCCGGTTTTATACCCCCATTGTATGACAACCATCTTTGTTCTGACTCTTCCTAGGAATCACAAATGATTCTGACGGGTGGTCAGCTGTCCAAATGGGACATTCTTCTACACAATTAAAACAGTGGATGGAAAGTAATCAAGGAGAGAAGCAACTTAGAACTAAGGGGAAATTTCCTGACAGTGAGGACAATTAATCGGTGGAACGACTTGCCACCAGAAGTTGTGAACGCTCCAACACTGGAAGTTTTTAAGACGAGATTGGGCAACCATTTGTCTGAAGTGGTGTAGGGTTTCCTGCCTAAGCAAGGGGTTGGACTTGAAGACCTCAGGGGCTGCCCCAAAGAAGAGGGAGTCAAGCTATTCTCCAAAGCACCTGAAGGCAGGACAAGAAGCAATGGGTGGAAACCAATCAAGGAGAGAAGCAACCTAGAACTAAGGAGAAATTTCCTGACAGTTAGAACAATTAATCCGTGGAACAACTTGCCTCCAGAAGTTGTGAATGCTCCAACACTGGAAGTTTTTAAGAAGAGGTTGGATAGCCATTTGTCTGAAGTGGTGTAGGGTTTCCTGCCTGGACAGGGGGTTGGATTAGAAGACCTCTAAGGTCCCTTCCAACTCTGTTATTCTAAATTCTAAAGACCTCCAATGTTGTAGCAAAAATGTCATAAAATCAACTATGACTCATTTAACATCCACCTTGGAAATTCTGGGCTCAGCTGTGGTCATTAAGTCGAGGACTAGCTGTTCTAGAGGAAGGAGTAAAATGGACCTTAAGTTTGTGATATCGAAATTTCCTCTCGCTTTCCGTGAAACGGAGCGGACTCCTTCCTGATGCCCAACTTCTCGATCCCGTTTGCTTGGGCTGAAGAAATAGAGATCTTGGAAGAAATGACGGATAAGGAAAAAAAAAAGAGAGGAGGGGATTCAATTTGTAAAAAAATTAATTACGAGCGCATGCAACAACTCTCCGAGCATATGGTTTTGAATTTTTTTTTCTTTTTTGCTAGCATTCAAGAGCAATTTTTTTTTTTATTGATATATATATTTGTAAGGTGTCCAAGGCGTTTTGTTAAGTTCACTTTCCCATTAGAGAAATGAAATGCGGAGAGCCCTTTGAAATCTAAAAATAAAATATGCAGGGTGGTGTGTTATTGATCTTAAAAGACAGCAAGGAAGACGCGTGGCGAGATGCCGAAGCCGGAGAAGGAAAACAACACAGGAGCAGGCCTTTTTCATTTTTGTGTTATCAAGTTTAACTAAGTTCATTTCCCCCTAGGGATTTTTCTCATAAAGTTTCAATTTCAGCTTCTATTTCCATAGTCATCCGTGAGCTCCTTGAAGCATATATATATATATATGTGTATGTGTGTGTGTGTGTGTGTGTGAATGTGTGTGTCTACACAACGGTATCTACATACATATTTATGATAAAAGGAGGTGTGATGAATATGTACGGCTTTGCCAAAGGGAAGGAGAGATCATCTTCCTTTGTTTACTTAATACGTCCACTGTCCCTCCAGAAAAGCTGGAAACTTTTTCTCTACTACATCGCTCCGGAGGAAATAAAATAAAAAAATTAAAAATACCTATGTGGAACATTAGAACAATAACAATCCCTTATAGGAAAGCGTAACGAACGAAAGAAAGCTATTTTCAGATGGAAAATACAGGGTGGGGAAAAAACATACATTCACACCAAAGCTGTTGCTGTTTTTTTTCCTATCCTTAACCTATGGATTTTATTTATTATTATTATTCCTTTAAATATTATTTTCCCACTGAGTAATATTAAAATGTGGAAAGTTAAGAGGCGAGAGTAAAATGGTCCTTTCGTGGCTTCCGGTAAATGGGTTCCTGCCGTTTACGGATAGCACCAGCGACTGGAGTCTGTGAAGCTATTTTATGCTGTAGCAAGGTGCTCAAACCCCCATCCAACGTGGTTTATTAGCCACGACTAAACCAGGGGTGAAATCCAGCAGGTTCTGGAGAACCGGTAGCGGAAATTTTGAGCAGTTCGGAGAACTGGCAAATGCCACCTCTGGCTGGCCCCAGAGTGGGGTGGGAATGGGGATTTTACAGTATCCTTCCCCTGGAGTGGGGAGGAATGGAGATTTTTGCAGTATCCTTCCCCTGGAGTGGGAAGGGAATGGGGATTTTGCAGTATCCTTCCCCTGCAGTGGGGAGGGAATGGAGATTTTGCAGTATCCTTCCCCCAGGAGTGAGGTGGGAATGGAGATTTTGCAGTATCCTTCCCCTGCCACGCCCACCAAGCCACATCACGCCCATCAAGCCACGCCCACGGAGCCGGTAGTAAAAAAATTTGAATTCCACCACTGGATTAAACCATGATTTACTGCAACGGATGGACTAGGCAATGCAGTTAGTAAATTGAGACCAATTTTTTCCCAAAATCTTGATCCAGGGACACTGCAACGGTTTGTAAATACACGCCAGGGGCCAAGCATCTGAATTATAATCTTGTAACCACGGGAATGCTGCAACCGTTGTTAAGTGTGAAAAACAGCTATAAGTCCCTTATTTCAATGCTGTTGTAACTTCAAGCAGTCACTAAAAGCCAAGGACTGCCTATTCAGCAGAGGAAAAAAATCTAGTTTTTTTCCCCCCACTTGTCTTCATTTCTTTTCATTTTGCTTTGTTTGTTTCCACTGGAGTAGGACCATGCAATACATTTAAAAAAATTTTTTTTTTTAAAAAACCTATTTAACAGAATGGAACAGAGAGAGAAAAAAAGAGGAGGCCAAATGAGAAAAGAATAGGAACAATCATTGTGCCTACAAGGATTTCCTACAGATGTTAAGATGAAGATTTGGATAGCAGTTTCAATCACAGAGGCCTGGATTTCATGGCAATTGTCCACACCTAATCTATGTCCTGTAAGCAACTCGTTCATAAATCACAAATAACATCCCGCCTTCAATCCCTTGAGTGTTTTGGGGCCATAAATTTATCTTTCCAGTGTTGAAGGACTGGTTGCTTAGCACGGAAAAGCTGTCCAGCTGTCGATTTCCACGGAACAGGAAGGCATTTTTGATATATTGGTCTACCTCTTGTTCCTGTCTAACAAGTCGATGGTAGTCCAGATGGCCCTGTCTGAACATAGACCCCAAACCCAAAGGACTGTTGTTTTTTTTACTCCAGACAAATCTGTAGAAATGCAGAGCTGGGGTTAGAGTAGAGTAGAGTAGAGTAGAGTAGAGTAGAGTAGAGTAGAGTAGAGTAGAGTAGAGTAGAGTAGAGTAGAGTAGAGTAGATTAGATTAGATTAATTAGAATAGTAGAATAGAATAGAATAGAATAGAATAGAATAGAATAGAATAGAATAGAATAGAATAGAATAGAATAGAATAGAATAGAATATGGCCAAGTGTGATTGGACGCACAAGGAATTTGTCTTTGGTGCATACACTCTCAGTGTACATAAAAAGACAATATACATTTGTCAAGAATCATAAGGTACAGCACTTAATGATAGTCATAGGGTACAAATAAGCAATCAGGAAACAATATCAATATAAATCGTAAGGATACAAGCAACAAAGTTACAGGCGTAAGTGGGAGGAGATGGGTGATAGGAACAGTGAGAAGACTAATAGTAATAGTAGTGCAGACTTAGTGAATAGTTTGACAGTGTTGAGGGAATTATTTGTTTAGCAAAGTGATGGCATTTGGGAAAAACTGTCCTTGTGTCTAATGCTCTGGTGTGCAGTGCTCTATAGTGTCGTTATGAGGGTAGAAGTTGAAACAATTTATGTCCAGGATGCGAGGGGTCTGTAGATATTTCCACAGCCCTCTTTTTGACTCGTGCAGTCTACAGGTCCTCAATGGGAGGCAGGTTGGTAGCCATGGTTTTTTCTGCAGTTCTAATTATCTTCTGAAGTCTGTGTCTGTCTTGTTGGGTTGCAGGACCAAACCAGACAGTTATGGAGGCGCAGATGACAGACTCAATAATTCCTCTGTAGAACTGGATCAGCAGCTCCTTGATTGTTTTCTTTTTGTTTGTTTGTTTGTGTGAGACAGGGATGATTTCTAGAAGACCTGAATCAAAAGACTTCTCTGTTGCCCTTATGGTCCCCTCAATCCATGTCCTTCTGGCCTTCATCTGAAAGATGATATCTTTCAGCACACACTTGTCAGATGCAAAAATCACCCAGGGGCTTTACAGAGACCATTAAAAGTCTACAAAGCTTCACAGTATGATTCACTGTTTGCTTGACTTCCCCCCAAAGTCTCTTCGGAGGCTCATTTCTCGTTCTTTAAGGAGGTTCTCCTATGCTGGGGATGTTGGTGCTCTGTGGATGTGGCCAGGCTTCCTGGACAATGAGCCGAAGTTCCATGTTTTAAATATTGTGTCACTTGGGGGACATTCGGCATGGGGAGAAGCTGAGGATGGTCTGTTGGCTTTTTAAACTTTTCAAAGTCTGTACATAATGGGTAAGTAAACCAGCCATCAGCATGCTAAAAAGCAGAGACATCACCCTGCCAACAAAAGTGCGTAGAGTCAAGGCTACGGTTTCCCAGTTGCAATGTATGGCTGTGAAAGCTGGACCATAAGGAAGGCTGAAGGTCAAAGAATGGAGGCCTTTGAACTCTGGTGCTGGAGAAGACTCCTGCGAGTCCCTTGGACTGCAAGGCCATCCAACCGGTCAGTCCTAGAGGAGATCAACCCTGACTGCTCTTTAGAAGGCCAGATCCTGAAGAGGAAACTCAAATCCTTTGGCCACCTAATGAGAAGGAAGGACTCCCTGGAGAAGAGCCTAATGCTGGGAAAGATTGAGGGCAAAAGAAGAAGGGGACGGCAGAGAACGAGGTGGCTGGATGGAGTCCCTGAAGCAGTTGGCATGAGCTTAAACGGACTCCAGAGGATGGTAGAGGACAAGAAGGCCTGGAGGAACGTTGTCCATGGGGTCGCGATGGG